TTCGAGACAGGGTTTCTCTGTATTGTTTTGGAGCCTGTCCTGGAACTCACTCTGTAGACCAGGCTTGGTCTCGAACTCACAGAGATTCCCTGCCTCTGCCTCCCGAGTGCTGGGATTAAAGGCGTGTGCCACCACCGCCCTGCAAACTTCATTTTCTTGATGAGTGTTTCATTATGTTGTTCAGGCTGGGCCCCAAACCCCTGGGCTCACGTGACCATCCTGCCTCAGTCTGCTGAGCAGACTATAGGTATGTATGTCACAAACAGAAATTGTGTGTGTGAGTGAGTGAGTGAGTGTGTGTGTGTGTGTGTGTGTGTGTGTGTCACAGTGTGCATGTGGAGGCCAAAAGACAACCTCTGGTGCAATGGATTACAGACACCTGTGCTATACCTGTGACAGATGGCTTTTTTTGTTTGTTTTAAAACAAGGTTCTGAGGGTTTCCAACTCAGGTCCTCATGCTTGCATGGCAAATGGTCTTAAATGGTCTTTGTCACCTGAGCCATTTCCCCAGCTACTAAACTGCGATTTTTTTTAAAGAAGCCAGCATGGGAGCTGGAGCGATGGCTCAGCAGTTATAGGCACCGGCTGCTCTTCCAGAGGACCCAGGTTTGGCTCAGAGTGTCCACATTGTAGCTCACGACCATCTGTAACTCCAGTTTCTGGGTACCCGAAACCCTCACACAGACACACATATAAGTAAAACACAAATGCACATGAAATAACAATAAATAAATCCTAGAAGAGGGAGAAGAGGAAGAGGAGGAAGAGAAAGAAGAAGATAATGCCTGTGGAGCCTACCGATTACTTGTAGCACGTGGGCAACTGAGGCAGCCTCGAGTACACACCGAGTTGTAGTCTAGCTTAGGCTACAAAGTGAGACTCTGTCTCAAAGAAAAAGCCCTTTTTGTTATTAGAGGGAACTAGCCTTTACCTAGTACTTTTCCCATGGGATGCTTTGCTCTCAACCTACTTGTGGCCTTGAGACCTTCCTTATTTCATACGCCCTCCAGGAAACATTTGTCCCAACAGATTGATAAAATTGGAAAGAATTTATCTGGCTCAGCAATAATCTCCTCCAGAAGGGCGTTTTTGCAACCATAGTGCTGTGAAGATGGTCACTGTAAGCAGGTCAAATATTCTCTATCCAAGCCTATTTACCTTTGCCCTAGTTAGAACACCTTTGCTCATAATTATCTTATATCAACTTTGGCCTAGTTTCCTTCCCGTCAATCATTGATTTTGAGAGAGTGGAAAGCGTTGTGTTTACATCAACCAGAAGCCCTTCATTTTCATTCATCCACAAGCCAGGGTTGGATTCTCTCTCGTGCCTCAGTGTCTTATCAGACACCACCAGTTCCCCGAGGACCTGACAGAACTCAGAACCTGGCCCTGTCCCCTCTCTCCCCCAAGTCTTCCGTTTTCACACGCGTGGAGCTGAGTCCTCTGTATCACATGGATGCTTATCTCTGTCCACAAAACTCTGTAAGGAGACACTACAAGATGCCCACGCGCCCCTGAAAGGAGATGTGATGTGCCTTGTGCTTCTAACTTATAAAAAGCTCCTATTCTGATTCGACTAGAGGATGACAGAAAGAAGACAAACTTTTCTAAAGGCCTTCTGTGTGTGGACAAGTGCTGTATACACCCCACCTAAATCCCCCGGCATAAAAGAGGGAGCCTTGATGCGGCGATCCAGTCAACTGCTAGGATCACTCTGCATGTGGCAGTCCCAACGTGAGAGTCCAGGTTGAATCCTAAAGTCCACGTTACAAAGCCTTCCTCAAGCCCTGTCATCCTGGCCCCCCACCCCCAACAGCTCAGCTCCTTTTTGCCTCCTCAGGATGAAGAACAGCCTTCGGTCAAGCTTTCAGATTTACATTTTACTTCAGTGGTTTTGAGACTACCTGTCCTTTCTGTAGTCGCCTGCAAGCCCTGCTCGGGACTCTGGGGTGACTCTCATTTGCCCTGCTTTGGCCAGTAGAATACAAAAGTAATAATGTGGGAGTTCTAAGTTTGGGCCTTAGAGGCCCTGACAGCTTCTGCTTTTACATTCAGTAAAGTCTCTTCCACCCAAAGAACAGAGTGAGCCTGAGGGTAGATGAGGCATCGTGACAGCAGAGTGGTCCCAAGGTCCCCAAGCATGTAGCCTTCGTAACAGCTAACCACATACGCACAAATAACCCTGGCTAAGACTGAATTTTGTGACCTTAACCCAAACTGCCAGTCCCTAGGACTGGACAGAATGGTTATTTTAAACTGCTAACCTTTTGTGGGGGGGGCGGACATGTTGTTAAGTGATAAAAGTGAACAGATACAGCCTCTCTGACTTAGGTCAGAGGCTTCAATTTTTTCTTCTCAAGGCTCTATTTGTTTTTTGTTTGTTGGTTTGTGTTTCAAGACAGGGTTTTTCTGTGTAGATTTGGAGCCTGTCCTGTAACTTGCTCTGTAGACCAGGTTGGCCTCAAACTCACAGAGAATCGCCTGCCTCTGCCTCCTGAGTGCTGGGATTAAAGGTGTGCACCACCGCCACCACCGCCGCCACCACCGCCACCACCACCGCCACCACCCAGCTCAAGGCGCTATTTGTAAAACTCAGGATTTCTTTGTGCTTGTGTATGTGTTGCATGTTCTTGTTGGTATGGGTGGGTACATGTGGGTCACGTATGTGGAGGAAAGAAGTTGATGTGGGGTCTTTCCCCAGTCACTATCTGCTTTAGCTTTTCAAAAAAAGGTCTCTAAGTGGACCTGAAGCTCATCAGTCTGGGTGAAATGGTTGACCTATGAGTTTCAGGACTTAACTTCCTCCATTTTTTCCCAGTGCTGGGATACCGGCAATTATCTCACTGTTCAGCTTTTTTTTTTTTTAATGATTTTTATTTTATGTGTATGAGGGTTTGTTTGCATATATGTATGCATATCATGTTGCATGCCTGGTGCCCATTCAGGTCAGAAGAGTCTGGAACTAGACAGTGGTGAGCTGCCATGCGGTGCTGGGTATTAAGTCTGTCCCCTGCAAGAGCAGCAGGTGCTCATAATTGCTAATCCACCTCTCTTACTACCTGTGCTCGGCTTTTCATGTGGATTCTGAGGATCCGAACTCATGTTCTTCTGTATGCTGGGCAGGCACTAAGTGACCGAGTCATTTACTCAGCCAGGGCAGAGACTCTAAGTCCCAAGGTCACCGGAGAGAGGACTGACAATTGTCTTTCTCTTCCTCCTCCTTCCTGCCAAGGCCAGTCTGATCTAGCCCAGAAAACTTCACACTCAGGCTGAAGTACACCATGGGATAGGTCTCCATGGCCTCATGAACCCAGAGTAATGACAAATATGTAATCGTAACTCTCTGAGGTTGAGCAGGAGGACCAAAAGTTCAAGGCCATCCTTAGCTGGTTCTTTAAGCTGCTGATAAAGAATTGGCCCAGTCTTCTCCTCACAAGGTCCCCAGAAAGTTCAAGTTTTTGGATTCTTTGTGTCCCCTCATAATTCCTAGCACAAGCCTTCCCTACATTTTGACTATATAGTGACTCTGATGTTAGCCTGGGCTATATGAGATCCTGTCTCAAAATTGGGCAGTGGCTTTATAGATCCCTACATTTTTAGCATGACCAAGTTTTAGATGTATATTAGAAACATGTTTCAGTCTAAGTGGATGCTGTTTAAACGGAATAATCGTGGGTCCCTTATACTTCTTAGCAAACTCCAAGTCTAGAATACTTTGAGCTTCTGAGAGAATGCCACTTTATGGACATAATAGGCTTTGTCTGTAAAAGATCAGAACTAATTTGTTAAAACAGAATTTTCTACTATGATATTTCCCTCTTTATAACGAAGTGTCATACAAATGAGTATTTCCAGTTTAGAAAAAAAAAAGAGTTGACTCTAAACACAAGTCACACAATATTACCCTCAGCTAAAGAAGAACATCACACCAAAAAACAGTACCTTTCATAACAGCCTTGCTTTAAGACTCCAGAGCTGAATCTGAAATGTAAAGCTGCCAAGTCACTTGGAAAAATTAAATTGTGCCTAGTGGCCAAGTTGAATAATGGTTGTTTAAAAATGCTATGGTATCAGCTGGCCAGCAGTCATGTGCACCTGCAAATTCAGGTGGACAAAAAAGGAACTGATTGCCTGTGGAAAAATGAGGATGACCTACAGCCGAACATTTCCACACTTGGATCTAAGCCAGGTGAATAAGATTAACAAATCTAAGGCCCCAAATCAAAGTGTGACAGGAGACACCCCCCACCCCCACCCCCCCCACCCCCACCCCCGTTTACTGTTCGCTCGGAACTGCTGTTCTGCATTGCACTCTCTCACGGGGTCTCCCACTCGGAACTGCTGTTCTGCATTGCACTCTCTCACGGGGTCTCCCACTCGGAACTGCTGTTCTGCATTGCACTCTCTCAAGGGGTCTCCCACGTCTCAGGCGTGGGAGCACGTGTGGGGACATGATGCTAGCAATGCTCAGGTGTTCTAATACCATTTCTCATTTATCTTAAATGTGTTGTATGGTAATATGCTAAGAGTCATTTCTTATGAGGTGATCAGTTACGAAATGGAAACAAAAGAGAAATCAGAGTTAGGTAATAATTTAGGAGATTTCTTAATACATGAGGAAGTATGAATATGTCTGTATTTGAAACATACCTCTAAGAAAAAAAATTTTTGTTTCTTTTTTTTTTTTTTTTTCCTCGAGACAGGGTTTCTCTGTGTAGCCCTGACTGTCCTGGAACTTGCTCTATAGACCAGGTGACCTCAAGCTCAGAGATCTGCCTGACTGTACCTCCCCAGTGCTGGAACTAAAGGTGGTGTGCACCACCACCTGAAGGAAATTTGGGAAGGACGCAGGGTACCCTAATGGCCTGGAACTCTCTACAAAGATTAAGCTGGTCTTGAACTTGAGGCAATCTGCTTGTTTCTGTCTCCCTAGTGCTGCCACGCTCACTCAGCCTGAAATAGTCATATGTCGGTAAGAATTAGGTGAAAAACCAGGTACCTGTATCCTAACTCTTCACTGAGACGGATCATATGAAGGATGTAGGATTCCTTGCTTGTTCCGGTGAGGCCAGGTAACAGCAAGATAGTGGGTCTGGTGCTGGCATCCACATAGCAGGAACTGTCATTGTTATCAGACCAGTCCAGTGAGATCTGTCCTCCATCTGCTGTCTTAATGAGTTCACTGAAAGTAAGGGTTCCAAAGGCACGACTGAGCAGCGTTTTACATTGCATCTCGGTGTTTTCATTCTATAAATATGACATTTTCTGGTCATATCAAAATAACTTACCTACATTCACATATAGATAACTATAAGCCACTTTCTTTCATTACAAAAATATTATGAAGATTAATTCCATATTTCCAGCAGTCCCAATAACAGGTAAGAGGTAAAAAATGAATTTCAGAAGGGGAAAAATTAGAGTAATTGGGGTGTGTCTATGTGAACTTGGTCAAAATACATTATATACATGAACAAAATTATCAAAGAACCAATAAATTATTATTTTTGAATGAACTTAAAAAGAATAAATTTTAAAGAACTTCAAATATTTGGGTGGGAGTGTGGTAAGCCCCTGCACACACACATACAACCCTTCATAAATTTATGTTAGTCATTTCCTTATTACTCTCAAATGCATAGCATTTAACCCCTATTGATTGAGGTCATACAGATATCAACATGGAACTCTGCTTGGTTCCGGTGCTGACTTGTTCTATGCTACAACTCTCTGATTCGATAATGCATCCCTCACTGAGTACCCTGCAAAGTTTGCTTCCTAAATGACTTCTCATGTAGCATCTATGGGCCCAACAGAGAGGAAAGGAACTCCAAAAAGACCAGATGACTCAGGGAAATTGCTAATAGACACCATTTAAATCTCCTGGCTAAATATGTTCCCACCCACATCTACAACACCTCAAAACATTATCCTCAAAAACCCATGTGATTGTTACTATGAGCTCTTTTGTGGGGAGACACACAAAACCTGAAGCGATTGACAGTCTCGCCCCTGTGCTAGGATCGACAACACCTGAATAATTAGTCCATCTCATCAAGGTGCCTAGGTTCTCAAGGACAAATTTGAAAACAGTACCCCCTCCCCCAAAACGAATCGCTTCTCACATCCCAGAAATAAGCTAGGGCTTCCATTCTGCCCATTTACATTAGGATGAGAAAAGAAAAAAAGGCGGGGAAGATCGACACCTGAATATTTCCCTGCAGCTGGAGGGAGGTGGGTAGGCAGGGCATCCCTCCTATTTTCTTCTCTTAAGTTCTGCTTCTTTTGTTAGCCACAGATGTAGAACTGGCAGCAGGACTTAAAACCTGTGATCTGGAAGGTATGTCTCAAACAGACAGCCACTTACTTCCTGTACTGCACCAGGGGCTTGGCAGTGATGAAGGGTCTTAGCAGTGTCTGTCCTCGGCTCTCCCAGCACCATACTGTCGGGTAATAGGTTTCTGTAACCACGGGACAGTGGTCCTGGAGGAAGCGGCCGAAATTCTTGCCTCCAGTCACTAACTGGGGTTTCTGCCGGGAGAAGCAGCATCGGTGAGGGGTCCAGAACAAAGTTTACGGCGGCGACCGTAAACCAGCAACCAGCAACCAGCAACCAGAGATTTATCGATGTCCCCACCCGCAGGCCGCGCGCGAGCCCTCGGATTCCATCTCCCCGGAGACTGACGCCCAGAAGCCACAATCACAACAGTCCCAAGATGCGCTCAGTTGCATCCCGGGGGAAACACGAACTGAGCGCCGGGTTGCCCTCCCCGAAGTACCGCAGCTATGCTGGCCGGACCGGGGCAGGGACCGCCGGGAAGACCCGGTGGCTAGTGTCGTCCGCGCGCCCTCGGGGCCCCGGGGCCCTCCACGCTCCACCGCCCCCGCCCCCGGCTCACCTTGGCAATGCTGCTCAGGTAGTAGCAGGCATAGGCGACGCTGAAGCCCAGGATCAGCGACAAGCCCACGCCCGAGCCGAAGAAGCCGACGCGGACCTGGTGCTCCAGGTAGAGCGCCAGCTCCCGGGACAGCACCCGCAGGTCCATGGCCAGGCGCTGCATGGCGCGAGCGCGGCGCAGCTGCGGCGGAGGCCGTCCTGCCCGAGCGCCCGGACCCGCGATGCAGGGGAGCGGCGCCTGCGGGGCGGAGCGCGGCCTCGGCCAACGGCGGCCCGGGAGGCGTGGCCCGCCCCGCCCCGCCCCGCCCCGCCCGGGAACCTTCCAGACGCGCGCTGGAACGCCCCGCTGCCGTGGACCCCCGGGTGTCCCTCGAGAGCCGGGAGAAAGCACGTGAGCCTTGCAGAAGAAAATGGGCCCGGCCGCCACCTGCCGCCGTGACCTTGAGCTCGGGAGGCAGGCACTTGCTTCGGATTCCAAAGTTGACGCGGAAGGAGAGCTTGCACTACGCAGGGAGATAATCCTCCATCCCACTGGAGGAGCTTGAGTCCCTAGGGAAACTATCCAAAGGAAAAAAACCTCCCATCAACTTTCAGTCTCCCGGTGAACCTTTTAAATAGCCAAGGGCTATTATCTGAGAGCTGGGTCTTGAAAAGGTCAGGAGCCGGAAATAGGATTCAATCATGTGGTTGATTAATGCTGTGAACTCGCAGGTGTATGGCAATTCGGGCTGATTACACAGGATGCACACGGGGAAAGCATTTTTCGAAGTAGGCTCTCTTAGGCTTGTTTGTGGCGACGTGACAGAAGTCTGTAAGTTGAAACAACGGTGGCTAAGCATATACAGGGAAACAGTGGAGGCAAGGGCTGATGAGACTACGAAAAATGTCAGCTTGTTTGAATGTATCGTTTTTGTTTTTTTTTTTTTTAAGGCAGTCTTATGTAGCTCATGCTTGCCTTGAACGCACTGTGTAGCCAAGGGTGACCCTGAACTTCGGCTCTTCCTGCTTTCACCTTCCTAGTGCTGGGATTATCAACCAAACTGGGATTACCACCAAACCAAGTTTATGCAGTGCAAGGATTCGAACCCAAGACTTGGGGCTGATAGACAGATACTCTACAATGAGCTACATGCCTAGCTTTTTTTTATGTCAGCACATGGTAGTTGTATTTTATGGATTAGAGTGTGAGACGGCAGTACATGCGTGATCTATAATGATCACACCAAGATAACTAGCACGTCCATGCCTGCACACACTCATCCCTTCTTCGTGTTGGGAACATAATAATTTTGAAATAATAAAGTGTTGTCACCAGTTAGGATTATAAAGCACGATCTCTCACTTGACAGGAAACGAGATGCGCTTATTTGCCTTTGATTTGTTTAGTGAATCTTGTTGGGGTTGGTAACCAGAATAATTCAGTTACTTTCACTGAACGAGGTCCTCTGGATTTCTCGCTCTCGCTTTGTATTGTTTTTGTTCCTTCAGACCACCATTTCTCAACCTGTAGGATGCAAGCACCACCACCACCACCCCCCACCTTTGACTGATCCTTTCTTTCACAGGAGTGGCATATCAGATATTCTGCATATCAGGTATTTACATTACAATTCATAACAATAGCAAAAGTACACTTATGAAGTAGCAATGAAATAATTTAAGGTTGGGGGTCACCGCAACATGAGGAACTGTATCAAAGGTCTCAGTGTTGGGAAGGTTGAGAACCACTGGTCTAGACAGTCTAAAGTCTAATGTATATCAGGTTGGCCTCCAACTCACTGTGGAGCTGAGAATGACCTTGAACTTGTGATTGATTCTCTTGCCTCTGTCTCCCAAAGGTTGAGATTAAGGGGTTGCACTGACACCAAGTCCAGTTTTGTGGGCTTCTGGGGATCAGAACAGAGTTTGTTCATGCTTACAAGCACTCTACCACTGAGCCACATTCCCAGTCCCTCACTTTTTTTTGAGATAAGGTCCTACCGTATAGCCAAGATTGATCTGAAACTCACTGTGTTGCCTGGGTGGCCTAAGAACTCGTGGTCACTCTGTTTCAGTCTCCTAAGTGAGTGCCACCTCAACATCAGGACCCCCCCCCAACCCTGGCCAGTTTCTTGTGAGATAAAGTCTTGCTGTGCAACATGGCTAGGGAACTTTGTGGTTCAGACTGGCCTGGAACTTGTGGGAGTCTTCAGTCTGAACTGTTTTGTGCATGATGAAGCTGTGTCTTTGCCAAGGCACCTTCTGATTATTTTAATCAAAGAGCTAACTGGTCAACAGCTAGGCAGGAGGTAGAGGTGGGACAGCCACACAGAGGCACTTTGAGCAAAAAGGGCAGAGTCTCGGGAGTCTCCAGAGATGAAGAGAGAAGCAAGAGAAACACGCTGTGTGGAAAGAAGGTACAGCTATGTGAAGAGGATAGATAATGTAAGAGTTAGCTAGTGGACTGGAGAGATGGCTCAGTGGTTAAGAGCACCACCAGATGCTCTTCCATAGGTCCTGAATTCAATTCCCAGCTACCACATGGTGGCTCACAACCATCTGTAGTGAGATCTGGTGCCCTCTTGTGGAGTACAGTCATGCATGCATGCAGAACACTATATGCATAATAAATAAATAAAAATAAATCTTTAGAATCATGTTCTTCTGGTCAAGGCCTCCTTTTCACCTTTCCTCCGCCATGGTGCATCATACGCCTGAGTTGGCTTCTCAGCATGTCTTTTCTCAAGACTCAGAATCAGGCAATTCCTGGCCAAGAAACAAAAGCAAAATCGTCCTGTTCCTCAGTAGTTTCACATGAAAACCAGTAACAAAATCAGGTACAATTCCAAAGAGAGGACACTGGAGGAGAACCAAGCTGGACCTGTAAGGATTCACACAATGGCAGGACTGAGAGCTTGCACTGAATCATGGTGGACGCAATCTATCCTACCAGATGGAGTTCAGCGTATTTAACCTGGAGACTTGCTTATGTTTAAGTTGGGAATGGTTTTTTTCAGTAATAAAAAAAAAGAGCTTTTCAGAAAATATAAATAAATAAATCTTTTTTTAAAAAGGACTTAGCTAGTAGCCAGCTTGAACTGTCAGCTGAACAGTTATAATTAATAATAAATCTCTGGATATTTATTTGGGACCTGCTGCAGAGACTCAGAGAAACTCCGCCTACACATGAGTTTCAAAGGTAGCACACCATATTCAAATATACTACATAAAATCTCTAAGGTTAAAACTTTCAACTCTTCAGTCAATATTCAAAAATAAGGAACTCAGCAAGAAAGTATTTTTTGTTACAGTTTTCTTTTTCAGACTTACTTCTCTATCTCGCGTATGTATGTGCAGGTGTAGGCTACTGGAACTTTGGGAGCATTTAACTATGAGCACTTCTGAGCTACCTCACCTGTGGATGCTGGGAAGTGAATTCCAGGCCTCTACAAGAGCAGCAAGTGCTCTTAACTCCTGAACCATTTTTTTCTGTCTCCCCCATTACGCTTTACTTTGTTTATAAGTGTCACAATGAACATTTTTGAACAGTTAAAAGTTATTTTTAAAAACAACTTAAAACTCATTGTAAAGGCATACATTACACAAAAGGGAGTATTGCTAGTAGGAAGACTGAAAACCTTTTATTTATTTTGACAATTTTTGTTAAGTAGCCCCAGATGGCCTTAAACTTACTATGTAGACCTGGGTGGTCCAGATCTTGCAACAGTCCTCCTATCTCTGCCTCCTGAATGTTGGATCAAGGTCAAAAAATTCTAAGATTTAATGGAAGGCAAGTCTTAAATACAAACGCATCACCATGAAATTTGTGTAATATATCATGTTTAATCGATGTCTCCTATACTAAAACATAGAAAATCTACCTAAAAATATATACATCCAGAAAAACACAAAAGAGAAGAGTGGGTGATTTCAGAGAGTGAAAATAGGTGACTAGATGTGAAAAACAGAATTGATGTATTACTGAATAACTTTTAAATTTTGTATCATGTTTTTGTATCACGTGCAAACAACAACAAAGGGCAAAGAGAACTTTATTAGTTAACATTGTTTCAAGGTTAAGAGCCAAACCATAGAAGGTATCCTGGTGTTAATCTTATAAATTTTGGATGAATGTATCCATTTGCTCTCTGGAAACCAGTAGGATCTGCTCCCAAGTGCTGGGATTAAAAGTGTAAACCACCAACGCCGGGTGGGTATGATTTCTTTATGAGATTTTTTATTTAAAAAATAAAATAATTTTACTTAAGTTTTCTTTGTGATAGATTTGTGGTGAAATTATTGTCACATCTATGCCAATATATAGCGAACCTTCAATTACAATGCCATTTTTGGTCTTTGATCATTTATAGAAGTTTCCCGAAATATGGACTCTCCTGAAAATGTTATGTTTATTGAAACTTTTCTGTCATCCAGAGCAGTATCACTTTTAACAACAGGCATTAGGTCTTTTAATTGCTGTGAAGGAGTTTCCCTAATGCTGGCAGGGAATGATTGAACCACATTTGACTCTGGAGCCCATGGGAGTCCCCTTAAGGCATTTCCTGATGTCAAAGGGTTACCTTGCATGTCCCTTGTTGATATGCATCATTAATCCAAAGCCAGTCCTTGCCACACCTTCGGCATACTCCAGAAAGCTGGGGTCTTCTGTTTTAGATCATCTCTAGAAAAAAAGCAAAGAACACTTGCCTACTACAATCCCTTTTCAGATGGCCTTGTTTACTACGATGAAAACATCTGAACTTTTATTTTTCTTGAAACTTTTTAGAAATCACTTCTATCAAAGTAGGATCATAAGCGTGAAATCCAGTATCAATTCATCTACTGGTGCTGATCTTGCCTTTAAAGGCCCAATCCCCTTTACATTCTGAATTAGCATTTTCAGAAGTCAACAATTTGATTAATATTCATCTGACTTCTAGATCTGATACTATTCTATTTGCAACCAAAGGCAACCTTTGCAAAATATCAGTGAAGGCTTCTTTTGGGTATTGTATAATTTTAATAAATGACTCAGACTTCTTTCCTGATTCTTCAGCATTGTTCCTAGCTTTTAAAGCTGCTAAATGACATAGAGCCAAGGTGTAATCGTCAAATTCAAAGTGTCTTTGCAACTCAACATATTGGCCTTTACTTAGCAACTGATTTTGGGAAATATTAATATCTGTATCACTATTTCACTCTTCTATGGCCCTAGCTTCCTCTTTCTACTGTGTTTGCCATGATAACAGGACCAGCTTCCAATATTGCTGTAGCAGTCCTTAGGTATATTCTGTTCCAACTTGCCCATGAATTTAACATCTGCTTCACTTAAGATGAATGTATACCATATGAAATGACCACTTTCTTAAATCTCATCAAATGTAACATTTCTATAGGATTCCAGTTAATTTCTTGCATAACCTTGGGAGGTGTCTATCATCTGGTAATTATTCTTTTATAGTGACTGGATAAACTAAGTTTGGTTTTCTAATGACCTTGGGCTGCCCCTGTTCAATTTCATCATGCAGTGGTGCAGTAGGTTCTTGTTTAAATTCTTTGTGTATAAATATATTTTTTTATTTTCATTAGTAGGTCTCTCTTTTTTCTTTTCAAGACAGGGTTTCTATTATTTGGAGGATGTCATGGAACTAGCTCTTGTAGAAAGGGTGGTCTCAAACTTACTCTTGACCCACCTGCCTCTGCCTCCTGAGTGCTGGGATTAAAGATGTGAGCCGCCACCACCACCTGACTACTAGTAGGTCTTTCTAAGGCTTGTATTTTTTCAGTTAAATTTTTCTTACTTTCCCCAGTACGCCTTTCTTTTTATTTAAATTAGAAAGAAGATCGCTTCACATGTCAATCCCAGCTCCCTCTCCCTCCCCTCCTCCTCTGCTCCCACCAACCCCTCCAATCCCCCACCCCATTCCATGGGTGATCTCCAAAGTCTGTCATATCATCCCAGGCAGGGCCTAGGCTCTCCCCCATGTGTCCAGGCTGAGACAGCATCCCTCCATGTGGAATGGGCTACCAAAGCCCATTTGTATACCAGGGATAAATACTGATCTACTACCCAAGGTCCTCTAGATTGCCGAGGTTTCCTCACTGACACCCACATTCAGGGGGTCTGGATCAGTCCCATGCTGGCCTCTCAGTCATAAGTCTGGAGTCCATGAGCTCCCCCTTGTTCAGGTCAGATGTTTCTGTGGGTTTCACTAGTCCGGTCTTGACCCCTTTGCTCATTACTCCTCCCTCTCTGCAACTGGGTTCCAAGAGTTCAGTTCAGTGTTTAGCTGTGGGTGTCTGCCTCTACTTCCATCAGCCACTGGATGGAGGCTCATGTTTGTCTTTTTGTGACTGGGTTACCTCACTCAGGATGGTTTCTTCTAGTGACATCTATTTGCCTACGCCAATACGTCTTTCTAAGGCTTGCATCTTATCAGTCAAGTTTTTACATTTGATACAGTTATCAAACCACTTTTTAAGGATGAAATATGAATTACTAAATTTATAATTAATATGATTGATATTATGTATATCCCAACTAAGCTGATTATCCCTTCACTTAATTTTTCCATTTTCAAAGCATGCATTGTGGAACCATACAGAGACCTAACTTCCTGCACTGTAATATATTTGTTAAGTTTATTTTATGTACAATGATTTCCTGCCTATATGTATGTCTGTAGTACGAATAATATAAAGGCAGAGACAGACATTGGGGTTCAAGCTGAAGATCAAAAGAGCAAAGCAGTCAAGCCACCAGAGAACTCTTACCTCTACCAAGGCTAGGGCAATCCTGTCTTCAACATGGCAGGAGACTAATCTGCTCCTGTCTTACACGCTTAAATAGTGTTGGGATTAAACTGATTCACTCTCATGTTACTCTGGGTGGCCTTGAATTCACAGAGATTCATTTGCCTCTGACTCCTGAGTCCTGAGATTAAACGTGTGTGCCACCACTGCCTGGATTCTATGACTGTGGCTAGATTTGCATTTGATCTCCAGGCAAGCTTTATTAGATCATGAATAATATATCACCATATATGTCTGTGTGAGGGTGTTGGATCCCTTGTAACTGGAGTTATAGACTGATGCACAATCCTAATTAGACTTATCAATAAAAACCTGGAGTCAGATATTAGAGTGAAAGCTGAAAGATCAGAGAAGCAGAGCAGCCAGCCACTAGAGAGCAATCCTCTTACTGAAAAAGGGCCAAGCTCCTGTCTACACCGTGCCTTATCACTTCCTTTCTCCACCTAGTCACATCACTTCCTGTCTCGTGTCTGTACAGACATCCAGACCAATGTGGTTAACTAGTGGCTAGCTCCACTCTGATCTTCAGGCAAGCTTTGTCAGAACACAAACAAAATAATACATTTGCCCCCTTTTGTCTAAAATAAAAAGAGAAGGCTATACCTAAACTACTATACAGTAAGTACAATAACTATATACAAAATATACAGTCAAGAATTACATTACCAATGTCTTATCCATTAGCATTTGGTAAATTTTTTTCCTGATTTAACAAGTCCTTTATTTATTGACTTTTCTGATTTACTATTTGAAATTTTGTGCTAGGAGCATTTGATAAATTTAGAAAAAATACTCCACTATCTATCCTATCTTGGTGAGTTCAAAGTGTTGAACCTAACTCACTTATATATCTTAACTTGTATTACCAACCCAAAACTGTCTTTTTGTATCTCTCAACCTTATACACTTTAAACCTCTTTAGTGAGTTTCTTTTCTGAATTTGTTAACAAGGAAAACTATAGCTATAGATGGGAGAAGGAAATAATATTAACTGAATAAGCACAAAGTCCAAGCAAGTGACTTTCAAAAAATGTGGGAAATGACAAAATTTGCTGGCTGCCTAGACAGTCACTCAAGGGTCCTCTGTAATGTTGGAGCATCCATATTCAGCCAACAGGCCTAGAATATCTGACAGATTTTTTTGTGAAGCAGGATATTCTGAATGGCTGTCCTAATTTGTCTTGGCAAAGTTTGCCAGTCCCTTTCTTTGTGACCTGCTTGTCAGATTTGGACAGCATACTATCAGCAGTTGAGGTAAGGGCACTTTCTTGCCTGGTTGCTAATTTTTGTTACAAAGAAAGTAAATTCCATGTGGACTTTCTTCAGTGCCCATTATCTTCCCTGATGTAGATTGGTGCTTCCAGGAGCAGACATGTCTCATTGTCATAAAAAAAAAAGCTATGTTATTAAAACATCTTAAATGCCATATTCTGTAGATCTCTGAGTGTTTGAAGATGACCTGTCTGTTTAAAATATATGTTTGACCTTGATAGCTTACCTAACATAACTACAAGTTTAATTGTAATAGGTGACCAACTACTAACCTGTACGTCTTTATTATCCTACATAGTTTGTAATAATAATTTTCAAGGACAAGAAATTTGCATTATATTGTTAAATGGGCTGTATAGATTCAATACCTTAAGCATGACTAGAAATGTATGTATATTCTGTTTTAACAAAAATTACTTTAAATTTGTATCAATATGCAAAAATCCATACCATTGTAAAATACTGAAAACTAGTAGTTGCTTTTTTGGTGTAAAAGTAGATTCAATAATCTACTCTTTTATCCTATTTCTATATCCCCCTTTTTCTTTTTAGAACAAGATGTCTGAATCAATATTCTTTGTTCAGCATTTTTTGTTGTTGTTGAGGTTTTTTCCTGACCATTACCAATAACAACTTGTAACCAGCTCCCCCCAAGGAATAACAAATATCCATAACCCATTGAACAACCAAAAACTACTCACCCTGCCACTTGGGAATGAGAGCATCATGTTCTTAAAATTACTTCCTGCTGCTTGGGGGATGATAGACAGGGGACCCTGATAAAAGTTTGATTAATTGTCAAGTTCTGGGAGAGTTAGTTTTATGATTTGTTGTTCAATCTCTGCATAATGGGATAATGCATGGCTTATCTCAAGTCCTGGCTGGAGTGGGCTGTGAGGTTGGATCATCTCAGTTAGCCACCTCAAAATTGTCCTGAGCAGTTTGTAGTTCAAAGCTGGTTTTTAGGTGGTGTTTGTCAGTTATTGGCCTTCCAACACTCCAGATGGAATTGTCATTGTGGAGCCCAATCAACCTTTGGAAGACTTCAAAGGTCACTGTTAGGCAAGATCTTGGTTCACTTCAGAAAACTTAAACATTTTAAATGTCATATGCAGCAGATCTCAAAGAGGCTAAAGGATCAATATTTTTATGTACATCCAGAGTACAAAAAAATAAATTCCTAATTACCTGATAGAGACTCAAACCCAAATTCATGTACAGGAAGCTAGTTGATGCCTTTTTCTAGAATTAGTTAGTACTCTATATGACCATTAATATCATGATAAAAGGTTTAAAAATATATGTATATATAAATCTTATGCATTTTGAGGTAATATTTATATCTTAAAAGTTTCAAAGAGCAAAAAATCAAAGGATTATGAGAGTAGGGGCAATGAAATGGCCCTTAAATTATGGTTTCTCTTCTGTCCCATATTAGGTGGATCTTTTGACATAAGACAGAGGATTTTAATTTTACTTTAGCAAGCATGGGTTTAGAGAAGAAGGCCACACTCCAACTCCAAAGACAGCTTTAATTCTTTTTTAAAAAAATATTTTCTTTATTTATTGTGTATACAGTCTTCTGCCTGCATGCCAGGGGAGGACACCAGATCTCATTCAAGGTGGTTGTGAGCCATCATGTGGTTGCCAGGAATTGAACTCAGGACCTCTGGAAGAACAGTCAGTGCTCTTAACCGCTGAGCCATCTCTGCAACCCTGACAGCTTTAATTCTTAATTGCACTGGGACTACAAAAAGACCATTTGCATTATATGTCTGTAGAGAAAGGAGAAACAAACATTAGGGAAGATTTATGAAATTTTATTCTGTTGGAGATGTGATATACAAATAGGCAAATTTACTCTTTTTCTTGGGACTTTACTTTCTGGATGATTTGTCCTTTTTTTTTCATGTCTCCTTTGTCCAGAGGTCTTTGGCTTCCTTATCCAGATGCCTTTATTCTCCTGAAAGACAAACACAAAAACCTGCCACAACCCTAAATTTGGGGAGGTTCTGTTTTGGCAAGTTATATCTGATAAAATGAAAGGATTTGGTAGTTTTAAAGTTACTTTAGACTGAATGGTCAAGTTTTCTAATTAACTATCACCTCTTCTAATCAAGGGGAGTCTCGTTCAGATCTAATCTTTATCAATCTTGATGGTATCCATATGTAACATTTAGTCTTCCTGCCTGCCTCCTGGGCCCTGCCCAGCTGTTTGAGCCCCCCAAATAACACACAAGACACTAAATTAATTATGAAGCTGTTGGCCATTTGCTAGGTTTCTTATTGGCTAGATCTGACTTGATTAGTAACCCATAATTACTAATATATATTTTATAAGAACTTATCTTTTTGAGGATACTCTCCTGAGTGCCTGTTGCTCCTGGGATATCACATGGTGACCAGTTTCTTCACTAATTTCCCAGAATCCTCCTAGACTCCTAGTCCCATCTATCCTGCCTCCCTATTGGCCAACAGTGCTTTATTGACATATACACAGAAGGACTTAACCATCATCCATAGCTTTTCTTCTCCTGTGGAGACAAAAGCAAAATCATTCCCCATTTTAATACATGTTCTTGTTTCCATTCTGAGGTCAGCACATCTTTAAGTATACAGACTGATTTAATTCCATAGTTTCTTTTATATTAGCCAATGTCTCTCCACAGTTGTTGTTCCTTTCTCAGCACTCAGAAAATTCAAAGTTAATAAAGCATCATGGAATCTATTTCTGGAGGTCTTTATTAACCCCTTCTGTTTATTTAGCATATTCATTAGAGTTTTAATTGATCTTTTTATACTGCTTTCCCTGTAAGATTGTATGGTATACATGTGATATGGTTTATATAGTAACAAGCAAAAACTGTTTCATTTTACATAGACATATGCTGGAACATTGTCAGTCTTAATTTGTACAGCTATTCTCATAGATGGCCACAACTCTTAACAAATGTGTGATTACAGAATCAGTCTTTTTAGAACTCAAAGCAGTTGTCCATTGAAATCCTGGATAGGTATCAGTAGTGTGGTGTGCATATTTTAATTTTCCAAATTATACAAAATGAAACACATCCATCTGCCAGATTTCATTCTTTTGAGTATCCTTGGGTTACTTCCTGCAGGTAGTGGTGTTTGGTGTAGGCCTCAATGGACGCTGTAACGATACGCGACACACAATTACTGAAAGTAAAGCTAAGTATTTAATGTAGAAATTACTCACAAGATACCAAACCCAGAGGAGCCAAGCAGTTTTCAGCTGCCAAACCGGAAGCCGAACTCCAGGAAAAGAGACCGAGACTTCCTGTGTGCTGTCTTTTATGCCTTCCCCGGTAACGCCCCCTAGCCATGGCTAGTGACGTGGTTCCGCCTACGTACGTATACGTCTTTACGTCCAGCCGTATACGTCTTTAGTCCTGCCTAAAGTGGGTGTGGTTAGCGGTGTGGTAAACCACCCTTCTATTACCTCATCTGTATGCGCCTCTAATAAGTCACATGTTTAATGGCGGCATCAGACTTCCTCCTACAGTTTGGTTGCATAAAAAACAAGTAGGACATTTCCTTGGCTTGTTGCTGTGTGATGGAACAGTCTTTCTTCAAACATTTGCTATTGACATGTTTTTTTTTAGAAGAAATTCTGAGGCCTTTAGTACATATCCTATCAATAGTTGATCAATTTCACCATTATCTTCTGTTGGAGGGCCTGACAGACCTGTATCTGATCAGATGTATGATTGTGTGTGTGTGTATGTGTGTGTGTATAGGATGATTCCTATTCCTGATTATGTTTTGTAACAGAATAATAAATCAATTTTATACTATTTGGTACAAATTTTTCAGTTTCAATATGCAAACAACTCTTTATATTGAGAATCGGTAACTGCAAAATTGATTAATATCATGAGAATAGCATATAATTCTGACTTTGGAACAGAATTGTAAGAGCTTTGAGACACTTTACTTAAATTTCCTTGTTTGTAACCTGGAATTTAAAGGCTCCAGATATTGGTGTTCCCCATACAATGTGAGAAAGGATCCAGTTAGTTCTTTCTATAAGTTGAATTTTCTTGCTTTTGGGATATTTGTTGTTAATCTCTCCCAAAAATTACTGCAAGCTCTCTGCCGACATTAATTTTCTGCTGATAATTAGTCAGTTTCAGAATTAGTAAAAGGTATTAAAATTTCTGCTGGGTCTGTTCCTGGCAAATGATGAAGTCTCAATGTTCCTTTAAGGATTTACTCAGAAAACTTTTCTCATAAGTTTTAATTTTTTTTACTTTGTTTATGTGGTAAAAAGATCTATTCTATGGCAATATCTTTCCTCTGCATTAAAATCTCTGTATGGGAATGTGTAGAGGGTAAAATAACCAGAATGCAATAAAGCTCCAGATCCAAACAATCCACATGTGCATCCTGTAACTTCTATCCCACCAAAGTCAGTTCTCTCTCAGCTTCAGCTGAGTTCTCTGGGACGATTTAAGTCCTTGTCACCTTTCAAAGATTGGAAGAAATTACTCAGTTCTGGATTTTCTACTCCAATAGTGGGTTATATAGATGGGCAATGTTTTCCAGAAAATTTTGAAAGTCTTTGAGGGTCTGTAATTGATCTCTTCTAATTTGCACTTTTTAGCATTTAATTTTTGGTAGACCTATTTCATATCATAAACAATTAATAGAATCTCCACTTTGTATGTTTTTTTTTTCAGGAGCAATTTGTAATCACCAGCAAGGCAAACTTTTCTTTACTTCTTCAAACATTTTCTCTAAGGTATCTACATTGGAATCAGCTAGTAAAACATTGTCCATATAATAGTAAACTATAGATTAAAGAAACTTTTTATGTATCATTTCTAATGGCTGACGTACAAAATATTGGCACACGGTGGGGGTATTGAACATTCCCTGTGGGATAACCTTCCATTGATATCTCTTAACAGGCTGAAAATTGTAAGTAGGCACTATGAAGGCAAAATTTTCTCTATATTTTTCTTGTAAAGGTATAGTAAAGCAATAGTATTTTAAATATATAACTATAATTGACTATCCTTTAGGTAACAAAGGTGGCAAGGAAATTGCAAGTTGTAGACAGTTCACTGGCTGACTCACCTTACTAACAGCTCTTAGATCTGTTACCATTCTCCGTTTTCCAGATTTCTTTTTAATAATAAATACAGGAGAATTCCAAGGGCTGGTCGATTCTTCAATATAATGAGCATTCAGTTGTTCCTCTGCCAGCTATGGTAAGACCTGTAGTTTCTCTGATGTTAAAGGCTCTTGCTTAACCCATACAGGCTTGTCTGTTAGCCATGTTAAATGTAGGGCTGTTGTTACCTCTGAAACATCAGCAGCTGTTGTGCTCTGCTCTTGCACAACCTGAATGGTAGGTGACTGTTCTTTATAATACCTTCTATGACAACATCATTTATTTGTTTTTTTTTAAACTTTGTTCTTTGATAAATGACAGAAATTTGACAAAGTATTCTCTTTATGGTTTCTCCTGAAATTTTTGTTTTATCTTCCATAGCTGTACTATCATCCAGAATAGTATGGTATTTTAAATAGACATTAGGTTCTTTAATTGCTCTGGGAAGGGGTTTTCCTCCATGGTCACAGGGAACGACAGAATTGAATTTGGGATGGGGGATGTGAGAAGCCCTTCATAGCATTTTCCAATGACAAAGGGTTACCTTTTCTGTCCTTTGTTCTTCTACATTCATTGGTTCAGTGTGTCAGTCTTTGCCACATCTTGTGCATACTCCAGAAGGGAGGAGTGTTCTGCTTGGATTATTCTTAGAAAAAAGCATTGTTTCTACAAATGCCCTGCCTACAATTTCTTTCTCGGAATTGTTTGTCACAATTAAAACACTTGACACTTTGATTTTCTCTTCAAGCCTCTGGAAATCATCTCTCTTAACTAAGCATCATCATGGTTATAAGATTTAATATTTACTGTATCAGATCCATTCATTTATGGGTGCTGATCTTGCCTTAAGGGCTAATTGCTCTTTTGTATTGTGAATTAGCATTTTTGATAGCCAGATATTAAATTACTATTTGTCTAGCTTCTGAATTTGTTATCATTCTATTTATTGCTGAAGCCAATCTTTGTAAAAAAAATCAGTGAAAATTTCTTTTGGGCCCTGTGTAACTTTAGTAAATGACTTAGTTCTCTTTCCAACTTTTTCAATTCTGTCCCAAGCATTCAAAGTTGCTGCTTAGCATAGAGCCAAGGTGTGCATCATATACAGACTATATATTTGTACATTACCATAATCTCCCTCTGCAAGACGTTGGTCTTGGGAGATTTACATAACTCTAGCACCACTTCATTGTTCAATGGATTTAGCTTCTTCTTTGAGTCAGGTCCTCTATTCTAATTGAGGACCAGGTTCCAATAGTGCTGTAACCAAGTCTCTCTGGTCTTGTTGGATAATTCTGTTGCAAGTTGACCATGTGTTGAACATCTGCTTCACAAAAGGTGAATGCATGCCATATGAGACTATCCTGTTTCTGTAACTTTCCTCAAATCTAATATTTCCTCAGGAGCGCATTCAGCTCTTGCACATCCTTGAGGATGCCTGCCATGTAGCAGCTCCTCTAAATTGACTGGATATACCAAGGTTGGTTGTTTGAAAACCTTGGGCTGTTCCTCTCTAACCTTATAATGCAATGTCAAGATTGTTTCTCCTTTACATTCTTCTCTCTGGGACTGACTGTCTCTATGATCTGTTTTAATACATTTTTTCTAAGACTTGTATCTTGACATTCATATTATTTTAGGAATAAAACAATAATGGTCAAACCAATAATGTTTATAATTGACATTACATAAATCCCAACTAAGTTAATTATCCTCTCACTTGTTTCATTTTTAAGCATCCATTATGTAATCATATGGAGACCTAACTCCCTCCATCATAATAGTGTCTCCCATTTTTTTAATGTGGGATAAAACTCTTTTTTAACTAATTCCCCCACTGTAAGAATTCCCATTGTTTCACCAAATATGCTGCTGCTGATTATGTTAAAATGTGAGGCTGACTGCTGTTGTATAGAACAGTAGAAGCTAAGAGGGTATTCTAGATAGCTATGCAATTTGACAGCAGCCTGAGGAGGGGGTCCAGAGAAAGCTCACAATCCACCAGGAGGGGGAGCCTGCTGTCTGAAAAATGCACACAAGGGATCATGGGGCAGAGGCATGTGTGGTGGGAGCAGCCTAAAGGCAGAATCAGCTGGTTGTGAGGGGCTAACTTTAGCCCAGGAGTGTTTGGAGTCCAAGCACCTGTGGAGTTTGCTGCAGAGAGGCTGCAACAGAAACATCCCAGACTCTCTCAGAGGGCTTGTGGAGAAAAAAGGGCAACCTAGCTAGTCAGGCAGTTCTGGTCTACACAGAGGCTGCAAAGCCACAGGCAAGCAGGTTTTTCATGAATTCTTGTCTCAAGGCTGGATGCCAGATGATGTGTCATCCTAATTAGTCTTATCAAGAAACACCTGGAATCAGATAGTAGCATGAACGCTGAAAGATCAGAGAAGCAGAGCAGCCAGCAGCCACTAGAGAGACTTACCTCTAACAATCCTCATACCGAAAAAGAGCTGAGCTCCTGTCTACACTCTGCCTTATCACTTCCTGTCTCCTGTCTGTACAGACCAATTCATTTAACTAGTGACTAGCTCCACCGTCTCATCTCCAGGTATGCTTTATTTGTCAGAACAAAGTTTCACAAAAACAGACAGCTGTAAGAAACCATGTGGGTTGAACCTGCTAAGAGCAGCCAGTGCTCTTAACCACTCACTCAGCCATTTTCCAATCCCATGTTCCTCATTTTTAATATGGAAAAGACTTCTTTAAAAAACAAAGCAAGCCGGGCGTTGGTGGCGCACGCCTTTAATCCCAGCACTCGGGAGGCAGAGGCAGGCGGATCTCTGTGAGTTCGAGGCCAGGCTGGACCGACAGCCTCCAAAACAGAGAAACCCTGTCTTGTAAAACCAAAAACAAACAAACAAAAAAAAACAAAGCAAAACAAAACTTAACTTCCCCTTTAAAAATTCCCAGGTGTCTGATGATGCTGATAGCATAGGCAGGTACAGAGGTATGCAGCTGCAGTAAAGATGTTCAGCTGTGCGTGTGTCCGCCCATCCAACAAGAAGCCCCAAGTCGAGCTAACTGCATGCCCTAGCTGAAGGCCATTGTAGCTGCTCACCTGCAATGCAGGGGGCGGGGAGTGAGCTGCCTGAAGAGTGAATATAGGGAAATGGGTAGGAAAAGCCCAAGG